TCCCCCTCCCCCCTCCCCCCTCCCCTTTTTTCCTGCCTGCTGAAGATAAAGGTTGCACAGAGCTTAAGACAGCTTCAAATATTCAAGTCATCTCTCGTAATTGGTGTCTTCATTGCACAAGACTCTTGTCTATAGTGAAGTCTAAGATATATTAGCATTTGCTATGGTCTGACCTTTCTCTAATCTGAACTAGAAAATTGCACATATTTTGCTATGAATTACTGGTTTCCAATTCTACTAGGACCACCAGCCCCAATTAGGAAAGTCGTCACTCTTTGACTCATATTTCTAGACACGCAAAGTGACCCAATTTGCATGACCCAAACTACGAGCCTAGACAACATCTACACGGCTCATGAAAGAATATATCAAAATTACATAAATACCCTTGACACCTAAACCTAATGGAAAAAAAATAGCTGTGTTAACTGAAATTAAACACAAATTTGATTACACAAATATGTGATTGCACTCCATGCACAATTCAGTGATTATGTATGTTTGGTCCGGAAGCTCCATGAGGAATGCCTACATTCCCTTGATCTTGTTCAATTGTTCCAAATCAATATATCATAAAGTTTGGAATAGATGAGATGCGTCAGGCTTCTAGGCAGACCATTTTTCTTTATTACTTGCATATTTCTCAACTGTGCAGGGTAAGAAGTTTAAAGATAAAGCACATGGTCAAGGAGAATCCAGTGGAGCTGTTCCTGACAGGGATCTTAATTTCAGCGATAGTGATGGAGGTTCAACAGGGAAATCTGATCAGTACCCTATCTCTTGGCCCAAGCGTCCCAGCGACGGAGCAGGTGATGGATTTGTCACCTCCATTAGGGGCCTTTTCAATTCTCAGCGCCGCAAGGCGAAGGCCTTTGTGCTTCGGACGATGAGGGGTGAAGCAGAGAATGATTCTCATGGCGAGTGGAGTGAAAGTGATGCAGAGTTCTCTCCATTCGCCAGGCAACTAACCATTACAAAAGCTAAGAGGCTAATAAGGCGGCATACGAAGAAATTCCGTTCAAGAGGACAAAAAGGTTTGTGGAGATATTTACTTGTTTCAAAATTATAGCCATTTGATATATAAGAAATGGTCCCTTCCTCACGGGCAAGCCAACTCCCTCTGAATGCTGCCATTTGTTTTTCTCACATGGAAAAAAATTCACAAATAAGCTACTCAACTCAACCGAGGTTAGCCATATAAATCAAGTTCCACCATCGTGCTCATCAAATGTAAGATTTTTGGTTAGATCACGAACCATCATTTTTCTTTTTTATTATCTGGCATGTAGTATTTACCACTTCATGAGCATAGACCGAGTTCAATTTTCTTTGGATACCATCTCTGAACTCAGGAGAATACAAGGGCTGGCAAATAGGGTTATCTTTTATTTTGTTGCATGGCTTCGACATTGTGTATTGGTGATTTTAGTCCTAATGAGCCTGTTAATGATATGCGCATATTACTGTATTCTGGATGAGTTGAAAAGACATGATTACTTTTGAGACTAATCTCCCCTTTTACAACAGGTGTATCTTCTCAGCAGAGAGATTCACTTCCATCGTCGCCTAGAGAGACCACACCTTTTGAAAGTGATTCTTCCAGCGGATCATCTCCTTATGAAGATTTCAACGAGTAGAACGAGTCTCAAGTCTATGCACAGAGTATAATTGTGAAAAACATTTGGTCAAGCACACGACACACTGAATTATGGTTATCTACAACAGTCCCCAATTGATCAAGGAGAGTGTGCTACACATTTTCATTTATATGACTCGGTGACTAATTTGGATACCTACTTGGACAGCTGAACATGCGCCCGAGTTATCTTCAAATAAGTGCAGGTTTAAGAAACTGCTTGCACAGAGAAGGAATCAGAGCTCTAGTTCGTAATTGTCTGGTAGGTCGACGTCGACATCTCTCATTCCCTTTTCTAGAGTTGTAAATTTTGAACGAGGAAAGTACTTGCCTTCGGTAACCTTTTCTTCTTTTTTTTCCCTTTCTTTTTGTTTTCCATGATGCATTGTAGCATCCACCTGAAGTACTATTTAATCATAGCAAGACTTTTATAATTTTTCAAGCACATATATGTATGTTGGAAATAGAATAAATGCAAAAGTGTATCGTTCTCTTCGTAAATGTGTGATTCTTAACTCCTGCCTAATGCTTTTTATTAGTTTTAACGGGCTGGCAACAATTTGTTTACCCTCGTGTTCATGAGTTGTTTATAATCTAATATAACCAATGTATACTTCTAATCACTTTCGACTCTCTTCTATTCTATTATTCAATGGTTATAGAATCTGTGCCCAGAAGGATGGACGAGTTCAATTTGACTGTTCATCGATCAGGTGGATCTATATGCTCCGGGGTGGTGAGACAAGCTGTTAATGCAGTGTGGTCAGCGCATGTGTTTTGGGTACAAAGTTATAGGTTCGAATCATGTCACCTAGATGTGATGTTGAAATCAGTAAACACTCAAATATGAACATTCATCTATCGTTACCATCTCCTCCGACTTGTGATTCATATATTGACTTTCTATATAGTGCTGTTCCTCAATTACCCCACAGCCTGTCGGGGAAGAATAATCGATTCCTGTTTATGTACAATCCGAGACCGAGGTCGCCACGCCCCAGCTGTGAGAGTGCGGCTTAGTTCAACCAAGACAGAAGGTAAATGTTGTTAAAACGACAGTCAACAAAACTCGGCCCAATAATCTTGAGGTAGTAAATTCTGATCAGACAACAGTCACTTCCTGCAGATATTGTCAAAGATTAAGCATATAAACAAAATCTATCCCTTCCCAGATTTTCACTGATCGAGTCTAAATTGGGTATCACTATTTGCATAATAAAACACATAATCCTGTTTACATAAAATCTAACGACGACTCAAATCGTTTAGATTCAATGGCTTATATTTCAACTTAAACGAGTTCAAATCGTTTAAATCCAACTTATATTACGACTTAAAAAATTCAGATCATTTAGATCCAATAACTCATATTACGACTTAAATTTTAACCTTTTAACTACAATAATTCAGCTTATTTACATTTAACCTTATAAAAAAAAGGGTGTATCGTGACAATCAATTCAACCTATGACAAAACGGCTGGTTTTGGGGGGGCCAGGGCTTACTCTACCCTCAATCAAACAAAAAAACCTGAAGGCTAGGGCGAGGCACCACATTGGAATTTGTAGAAGCTGTACGATGCTCTTACCACATCTGGATGCTAGTTTTCTCACTAACTAAGAATAATAACAAAGCTCAACCAGCACCACTGCATGAGATTTTTAAACAGGTCCATAAGACAAAACTGTAAGTAAATCTACCCACAGACACCTAGAAACGGAACATCTCACCAAATGCACACTTCTTGCACCACTGAACAACATTAAAAATATAAATTAAATCAACGATTTTCAACAAAAATCCACATTGGAATAAGACATTAAAAATAATCACAACTTATAAGCCACTCAACCAATCTCTCAACTACTCATAAAAACAAGCACGATCCTAGCACTCAAGTCATATAAACATTAACCATGGCCACATTGTATGTAGTGTTAGTTTCCCGGAAGTGAGATGATCACTGGAACCAGGGTTTGCTGCATGGCCATTTGAACTTACAATGACACACAAACTCACTGATTGCCATTCTTTATGAGGAAATCAATAATTTCGACCTGTTCATGAAGGCTGACAGTAAGTTAAATACAGTGTACTTCACACTCAATTGCTCGTCTAAGAAACCAAAACCAAACCCCCTAATTAAAGTTAGCAGGAATATCCAACTCTGGTTCAGAAGCATTTGCAAACTCAACGAGAGTTTCCTGCAGAGACAAGAACATCAAAGTCAAAATCATAGATTAACCAAAAAGTCTCATTGAAACTATAGAAGCCCTGCATTGTAACGCTAACAAGTGAAAAGATTTTAAGATCACCCCGAAGCCACCCGAAGCAATGCTATGAAAAAAACCATACAATTACAATCAATTGATCATAAATATATACCATACCTGCTCATCAAGGTTGTCTGAAGAATTGACAATTACCATAGGCAAACTGTTTGTAAGTTCTTCTGCAGTTTCACATAAATGCTGCATAACAGCAAGACCAAATTACCACAAAAACAGAGAAAACCTGTTGCAGCTTAAAAAAACTGCAACAGAATCAAATCAAGTTTCCTAGTCAAATGCAAAGAAGAAAATTATTGAAGCTTAAAACGAAACAGCGCGGTCAAACTCGGTTATTGCACTCCCTGCCTGTTTCATCACGTGGAATTTCATTCCAATTTTAAACTTGGGATAGTGAGCTCTCAACAGTTAAACCCCATAAAATTTACAACACATGTTAAAATGCTTAATTTTCATGAATATCCATATCCTAGGCAACAGAAGCAGCAGACAGAGTCAAGAACTAAAAGGAACACATAATCCACTAAAGGCATCAGAAGTTTAGAAAGATTAGTGCAACGGACAATGGTTCAAAGAGAATAAAAGCTTATTGCATGAATGTATAGTTTGAAACCATTAAACGGCAATTTACCAGTGAATGGAATGGAGCATAAAATTATCAGATTGGTGCTTTGAGATTAGATCGAGTTCATGTAAGTTAAATAACACTCCAATTTGGACTTGTTCTCCATTGCAGCCAAATGTCCTCAATCATACATGAAACCAAAAGTTCATAAATTTATCCAAAGCACAGTAAATCGAATTCACTAACCATCAAAAGATATGACAGATGGATCTTGTTTCATATTTTAAGTTGTTGATTATTGTTTATATTTAACCAGAGAGTTGGAATGCTCAATGGGAAACTGCAGAACTAAACCAACTGCTTAGAAGGGCAACAGAGAGTAGTGTGGATTTGAAGAATAGTTCAAACATGTGAGAATAATTAGTCCAGGAAATTGATCCACAACAAACCCTCACCAAGCTACACTGATGCAATATATATCTAATTGTGGTTTGACGGCTTTTAAATATTAACAGACATATCTCTTACCCTTCAAAATATAATCAAAAAACGAAGCAGTAATGATGGTTGAGGTTGTGAGGCACATATTTTCTGTGCATAAAAATTGCTAAGTAAAATCAAGGCCACACTCAAGGTATTGTTGGATGGAGAACATACTTCCTCATCTGGAATAACAGTGTCATTTTCAGTTGAAGTCACAGCCTTGGAAAGATCGTCAGGAGTTCCCTGCATATGCCATAACTGGGTAAGAACTTTCCGCGAAGCTTGTCCTTTTCACAAAAATAGAATTGAGTCAAATCATACAGGGGCATCTTGATTGCCGGAAAAATTTTTGCGTCCGAGGATTGAAGGTTTCATATCAATAGGTGTTTCCTGCACATCACACAATAATCACTGGGTAAACCAAACAATGCCAATATTACTGCAACAGCAATAATAGTATGCCTTGGATCCAGCTTGGCATGCAATGCGAAAGCATATAAATACAACTACAAAACCAAATAATGGACCTCACTTCAAAGATTAAGAAGTAATAAACCTTCCAAAAATAAGGAGTTGCAAAAATTTCTCACAACCATACCGGTTCAATTTGGTCCAAAGAAAGATTCCTCCCTCCCTTGTTGAGATCTCTCAATGTTCCCTGCCCATTCAAGAAACAATGAGGTGAAACAAACAAACCTCCACAAACAGTAATAAAGAATAAAAAAAAAAAGGGGAAAAACATAGTAAAGTTTTGTGATAATGACCACATATCAACAATCACACACTTGATTACTAAAGAAGCTTAATGTAGAATTGGTGGGTCAGAAATCTTACCACCTTTTGTAGTAACCTATTTCAAAGAGAAAAAGACGAGTGCTTAACTGTAAGAAAATGGAACAAATCAAGCAAGATCTAAGTTGTTTTCCCAACAAAAATATTCCGATGCTTAGAATTAAATATCCAGAAACTAGACAGTAGGACTTCAGTCACAGGAATCCAATGCAGATTTGAGCATTAACTGTTTTACAAGACTAGAAGTCAACCATTTTAATAACGTGCAATTGTTATAAAATCTGAGCATAATGGTAAAATAGGCTTCTAGTGTTTCTATTTTCAGGGAGTGATCATCAACATCAACATGTGACTGAATTTGATGCCCCTACCAGAACTCCCAAAAATTCTATTCGAATTCACCGAGGTTTAGTGAAAACAATGCAAAATCGGCAGTCAAGGTACAAAAAATTAGCTGTCTCAGTTTTAATGCTGACACATAATACAAACCAGGCATCCCAAACTTCTATCCATGCAGTAAACTATACGCATGCAAATCCATGCCAAAGAATGAGCAACTTATCCTGCTCATATTTTAATCTAAAGGTATTTGACCTTCCAAACACAAAAGTAACGGCAACTGACAACAAAGACCAAAGAAACCTCCTTTGCTCAAGGTGCTGGACTTCAAAAACACAAAAGAACACAATTAGGCAATTGAAATAATGCATACCTTATTTGCCCACATAAGCCCACATGCATTGCAGAGTGTCCTCGGCCCAGCAGGCCCACGACGCATTGCAGGAGTAGCATTTTCACTAACGCCACAATGTTGACATCTCCGGGGACTGGAAAAAAAAGCAGAAATAATACCAAGTACAATAAACTTTGGGAAGCTTAAATTATGACAGCAATGCAGTAAATCTCCAGATGCTGAAATAGCAACATCAGATTTAGGTCGGAACTCACACAGTTTCCTGACGAGGTGTTCCATCCCCTTGGGGGCAACTCTTTCCAGGATCCCAACTAGAAGATGCTTTCAAGGATGCAAATTGACCATTCTTCCTGTACATCCTAAAAATAAACATGAGAGATTACTACTACTGCCTCAGCAAGAATTCCTAGTTTTTGTTGAAAAAATCAAACTGAAGTCATAAAAGATCCACTAAAAAGTTTGCAGCTGAGGGATTTCAGCAGACACGCTCAAAAAGAGAGGAACTTCCTATTTTTTCCCATCAATTATAGCACCTATAGGAAGATAAAAATGGCAAAGAGAAAGAAGGAAAAAACACATGACTCGTCCTAGACAAAATGTCATAAGCACAAACAATCTACATAATATTACAAACAAAACTGTGAGAGATGTATCGATGACAAAAGCAGTTCAATTATTTCTTAGTGCAAGGGCTCAGGTCCACTACATAGCTAACACAATAGATTAAACAAAAAAATCTAAATTTTAGTTCCACGTGTTTGTGTTTTTTTTTTGACCAGGAAAAAACATCTAAATTTTAGTTTCAAGTGTTCTAGACACAAGAAATATGAAGTTTATACATGGTCAACATTATCCATTGTGTAACTACCTTCAAATATGAAAACCACATCATTACCATTTTTTTGCAGCCCTTTACTTGTGATATATCTAAGCATAAAACTCAGAATAAAAGTTAACATATACTTGAGAACACACATAATGTAAATGAACTAGAACTACCAATAGATCCTGAGAGACTTACAAAACAAAAATGTCATTAGCACAATATTCTCCACCATAAAATCACTGTAATATGTGGCTATGTTATTCATCTTTTCTAGCACTCAGAACATCATAGTTACATCTACAGAAGCAAAACTGGACTAGTACAACAATAAATTGACAACTCTAACTGGAGTTTGAAATTATACGTCCACAACAGCACATCCATAACCAAGGAAAGAGCAGACTGAAGAATGAACTCTCAGTGCACTTGGTAGTTCTTATAAATACAAGTACATTCTTGATGCAGCTCAAATATATTTTTCTATACTTAATACGCATTGGCATGACATAAAACAAAGGAAATAAGATTGAGACAGAAATAAGTCTTACTTGGATTGAGAAAGAAAATGCCATAAAGACACATAAGGATAACAAGGGTCAGTTGGTGATTCACTTACCCTATAGAACCACTTAAATCTAACTGGTCTACCTAACCACACTCTCCACGGGACACACAATGGCTTAACCAATTACATTGTATTTGTACTTCAACTCCTCTTCCTTCCCTCATTCTAGCCACAAGACAGACTATGCTCCATCTGTATTCATCATTCTCCCCCCCTTGAAAAGAGCTCACTCTCGATTTTAGAATTGGAAGTCTACTCCAAGTATCGTAATTGAGCTTTATTAACGCTTGATGCATGACATTTTTATCCACCGGCTTGAGTGTACACTTCCACTAACCGAAACCCACTTTGCTACCAAATTGATGCAGCTCAAAAAATTTTACATTTTGTATAGTGGAATATATACAACAAAATGAAACAACTATTTCTTGGGTTGGTAGTGGTACGAAAAAGCCAAAAAAAAAAACAGGATAACAAGGGTGACACAGGGACTCTCACACCGTAGTGAACCACTTAACTCCAAGGGTCAACTTGGGGGCTCACTCTACCAAGGATGAGAACGAAGAAGTGGAACCAAAGAGCCATTGGGTCTATGGCTCGCCCAGATTCACCATACTCCTTGCCATTATTCAAACTTCAAGACAAACTGACAGGCATATGAAAACTAGACGTTACATGTAGTCAAAGTAGCCATTCGACAAATGATACAGCACAAGTCTAGAATCAGATTATGTGCCAACACTATCTTACATTTGTCTTCATCTATTCTGCATATGATGCATTCTAGAGACACAATCTTGTAGACAGTATTCTAGGGCCCAATCTTATTGATCCAAAAAAATTTTGTTTTCATCTAGAGATATTATTCCACATAACAGTTCAGCAACACTTGGAAAAATCGGATAGCAAGATTAAAGATGTAGACCACAATTCAAATATAAACAGTACAGTATTCTTACCTCTGAGCAACCTCCTTTCGAACATTGTACCTGATTTTCTTGTCAAAGCATCTCTCTTTTCTTTTTTCTCGGAATCTAACTAGAGAGGCTATTCTTCGTGAAAGATTTGACCTCTTTGGTATATCTTTCACACCCTAGGAGCAGAATTGGTAGATATAGCATGAAAACTTTACAGAATAATAAGATAATTGCCAAAACATTTCCAACTTCAGAATTACCTTTTTATTTGGTTCAAAATGAACATCAACAGTGGGCAATGCAGTCGGTATTTCAGGGCCCCCCAAAAGCAAGAGCACTGCTTGCACCTATTATATACAATCAACCACATCATGCATTGCATCAGGATATCAAAGCACTCAACTGGACAAGATTCGTAAGAAGTAGAAATGCTGTGGGTTTTTTTTTTGGGTGTGGTGATTTTGGTTTTTTTTTTTTTTTTTGTGGGNGAATTGGAAGTCTACTCCAAGTATCGTAATTGAGCTTTATTAACGCTTGATGCATGACATTTTTATCCACCGGCTTGAGTGTACACTTCCACTAACCGAAACCCACTTTGCTACCAAATTGATGCAGCTCAAAAAATTTTACATTTTGTATAGTGGAATATATACAACAAAATGAAACAACTATTTCTTGGGTTGGTAGTGGTACGAAAAAGCCAAAAAAAAAAACAGGATAACAAGGGTGACACAGGGACTCTCACACCGTAGTGAACCACTTAACTCCAAGGGTCAACTTGGGGGCTCACTCTACCAAGGATGAGAACGAAGAAGTGGAACCAAAGAGCCATTGGGTCTATGGCTCGCCCAGATTCACCATACTCCTTGCCATTATTCAAACTTCAAGACAAACTGACAGGCATATGAAAACTAGACGTTACATGTAGTCAAAGTAGCCATTCGACAAATGATACAGCACAAGTCTAGAATCAGATTATGTGCCAACACTATCTTACATTTGTCTTCATCTATTCTGCATATGATGCATTCTAGAGACACAATCTTGTAGACAGTATTCTAGGGCCCAATCTTATTGATCCAAAAAAATTTTGTTTTCATCTAGAGATATTATTCCACATAACAGTTCAGCAACACTTGGAAAAATCGGATAGCAAGATTAAAGATGTAGACCACAATTCAAATATAAACAGTACAGTATTCTTACCTCTGAGCAACCTCCTTTCGAACATTGTACCTGATTTTCTTGTCAAAGCATCTCTCTTTTCTTTTTTCTCGGAATCTAACTAGAGAGGCTATTCTTCGTGAAAGATTTGACCTCTTTGGTATATCTTTCACACCCTAGGAGCAGAATTGGTAGATATAGCATGAAAACTTTACAGAATAATAAGATAATTGCCAAAACATTTCCAACTTCAGAATTACCTTTTTATTTGGTTCAAAATGAACATCAACAGTGGGCAATGCAGTCGGTATTTCAGGGCCCCCCAAAAGCAAGAGCACTGCTTGCACCTATTATATACAATCAACCACATCATGCATTGCATCAGGATATCAAAGCACTCAACTGGACAAGATTCGTAAGAAGTAGAAATGCTGTGGGTTTTTTTTTTGGGTGTGGTGATTTTGGTTTTTTTTTTTTTTTTTGTGGGAGGGAGGGAAGGATGGTATGACAGATTTAGAAATAACAAAACAAATATCAAACATAAACAAAGGAAAAAACAGAGACTATACATGGAGATATAGGGTCCTAACAAGAGCAAATCCAGCATGCAATCCTCATCTCATCATCATAGAATAAACACCCTAAAAATTAGTTTCTGTTCCCCCAAAAGAAGTTATCCTGTCATCTCTCTCATTGTTTATTTCAACATTTTCCCTGCTACAAAACTTCCATTATGTAGTTATTTTTTCAAAAAAGATCTCATATGCATACACAAACATATAAATTAAAAAAATCTTTTAAATTAATAACCTAAGAGCAACTCCAACAATGCTATCTAAAATACCTACTCAAAATATATTTAAATATTGTATTATCTACTATAGCTAACCACACTCCAATCAGGCTATCTATTTTAGCTAACCACTTCAACTAACTTTCAATAATAAAATTCAAAAAATAGTAATTCAACTATACATTGTATAAATTTAATCAATTATGGACTACAAGAGTAAATATCATAAAATACTTGGAGGGTTTTATTAGATTTTTGGATTTTTTTGGAAGTTTTGCTAGATTTTTAGAGGGGTTTTATTAGATTTTGAGGGGGGGATTTGTTGGATTTTTTAGGGGTTTTACTGGATTTTTGGGGAGTTTTGTTAGATTTTTTTACTATCTCAGTTCTTGATCTTCTCATACAAAGCCCACCAATAAAAATACAGATGATAAAATTCCCAAATTCATACGAACCCAGAAATGATCTAACAGATCTATGGATCAAACAAATCCTAACTATTTCAAATCTACAAACGCTAGATGAAGACGATCGATTGAAGTCGAACACGATATGTGATGAGGACAATGTTGCGAAGACTATGTTGGATGAAGACGACGCTGGATGAAGACGATGTTGTGACGATCCGTAATGAAGACGATCTGTTGTGATGAAGACGATGGATGTACGCTGGATAGCTAGCCTTCTTCTCTCACCAGATCTAGCGAGCCGATTTAGAAAAATGGGTAATACCAAGTGATTTAGCTAGCCGGTTGGAGCCAAAAATTATGGACTAGCTATCTAAAATAGCTAACAAGCCTTTTTTAGCTATCCCGTTGGAAATGCTCTAACAACCTATTAAATGAGGCAATATTGCAATGACAAAGACCAACTGAAATAAGAGGAAATTTTTGCTAACAATCTATTATAAATAAAAAATCATGGAACATAGGTTCACAAATTTAATACGAAATAATTGCATTAGAGAAATGAAAGGAATAGCTCTAATTGAGGACAAATTGAGGGAGAATAGATTAAGATTGTTTGGTCATGTTCAACGGAGGTCGATAGAGACACCGGTTAAAAAAAATGATATTATTTCTCTTAATGGTACTAAAAATAGAAATAGACCTAAATTAATATTAAATGATATAATAAGAAAAGATATGAAAATATTTAATTTAAATATACAATCGAAATGAATGGCGAAGAATGACACATATAACTGATTCAAATGATTCAGACATAAGATTTAGTTTGATTTAGTTTGGTTATAGGTTCCAAAAAGCATGAAATAGTCCGCTACCACTTCTTCGCAAGTTCAAATTTGTCTTATTAAAAAAAATAATACGGAAAAAAAATCATCATTAGAATGTTTTTCACCTTCTTATTTATTTGACAAAATACAACTCTGAACTCCATACAATAAATGCATGTATAGTACCAACTAGAGATCCTGTTCACCAATAAACTTTCATACGAATATTCTCAAAAGTCAAATTTGTCTTTCCAGAATAGTAGCAAAAAGTACACCTACTCAGAGACATATATACAACAAAATCATCAATATAAAATTTCCTTTTTTCCGAAACACCAAAGAAACCGCAAAATCATAACAAATAAAAGGAATTTTCTTTATTCTGCAGAGTAAACCAACTTAAGCAAATTCCAAGTAATTCGCAGCTTCTTCAAAAAATTGATTCAAAAAAAAGAGAAATATATCGAACTTGAAAACATTACGAACCTTGTCTGGTGTAACAGCGGGGAAAACATAGACCTCGCCTTCGAAAGCGAGAGTGAGCTCACTTGTCCTCGACGGCACCACAACTCCACGGCCGTGGTGGTTGGAAGCATTAACCGAGGTCACGTGCCCGTCCTCAGCCTCATCCATGGTATCATCACCACCGTCATCGTATTCACCGTCACCTTCATCGTCATCGATCTCCACAGGTGGCACTTGCTCTTGACGTTCGTACGGACGCGCCTGTAGTGGCCTTGGATTCGCCGCCATCATCTCACCAACCGATCAAACACCATCAATTCCAATCAACAAACACCCTAATTTCTCTTCTTCATCACCTGTTTCATTGAAAAAACTACAATCAACAAGCACTAACCCTAGGCAAGCTGGATTCCAAGTGAGTGAATTTTGGTTTGTTTGCAGGTGTGCGTGTTTGTGTAAGAGAGAGAAGTAGAGAGAGAGAGAGACAACGATCGAGAAAAATACCCAAAAGTAGCAAAGATATGCAGGGGTGCCCCTGTGTTTCCTTGAAGAGACTCGAATTGGTAAATATATTATTGGGTCGGCTACTTCCGCCTCTTAAATCATTCCATATCCGCACTTGGTATTTAATCCCTCATTAATTATTAAACTCATTCTGCCTACATTTACTAATTAAAAATTAAATTAATTCAATATTATTTGAACCTATTGTATATATAATGATCAAAAAAAAATTCAGTATATTATTTTGGTACAAAAATATTTCAAAAAGAAAATAAAAATAAATAATTAATTTTAAAATATCTCAAAACACCTCGAAATATTTTAAATTGATTAGGAACATTGAAATTTCATGTTAATTACTATTTTTGTTTCAATTTTTTAAAAATATATTTAATATTTTAATTAGACGAGTATAATTAATTTTATTACAATAATTAGGGATAAAATAAAAAATTAAAATTATTTAATATATTTAAGACTTTACTTCTTCGTATAGATATAAACAATACTACTAATACATGAACTCAAAAAAATTTAAAAATCCTTATAAAATAGTTCAAAATAAGTTAAAAATCAAATAGGAGTAGAAAATAAAAGTTAGATGAAAATATATAACTGGGTATAATTGACTTTATTATAATAATTAATAATAAAATTAAAAATTAAAAAATTTTCACAAATTCTGACGTATATATATAGCATAGATAAATATAGATATAGATTATACCATTATATCCTCNGGTATAATTGACTTTATTATAATAATTAATAATAAAATTAAAAATTAAAAAAATTTCACAAATTTTGACGTATATATATAGCATAGATAAATATAGATATAGATTATACCATTATATCCTCCATTAAATTGACCAACAAATTAACAAAATCATCAATGTCCCCCATCCACAACCTTGATCCATGCCCAAATCCAAACATTTTCATCCCAAAACGCCAGAAAAATATTCATTGTAAATGTGATATAATGTCAACATTATGATGCGATATTACCAAATAATAAATATGCAAAAAAATAANCATCCACAACCTTGATCCATGCCCAAATCCAAACATTTTCATCCCAAAACGCTAGAAAAAATATTCATTGTAAATGTGATATAATGTCAACATTATGATGCGATATTACCAAATAATAAATATGCAAAAAAATAAGAAAAGTGAACTCCACACAAGACAATAACTATTTGTCCATATAAGCAAATATTTATTCAATCTTCTTTCATGTAAGCCAATAATTATCCAATTGAATTTCATTTTGTCTATTTGGGATTTTATTATTGGTACCATTGTATTGAATATTATGGTAGAGAGACGGGGGTCAGCGTTTGGAAAAAATATTTATTGCAATAGTGATACTATGTTAGTATTGTCACATGGTATCATTCACCTATAATGTGTAAAAAATAAGAAAACGGACTCCACATATATAAATAACTGTCTGTTCATGTAAGCAAGTAATCACCTACTCTTCTTTAATATAAACCAATAACAATTCAAATAGGATTCACTTTGCACATTTAGAATTTTATTGTTGGTTANAACGTTTGGAAAAAATATTTATTGTAATAGTGATACTATGTTAGTATTGTCACATGATATCATTCACTTATAATGTGTAAAAAATAAGAAAACGGACTCCACATATATAAATAACTGCCTGTTCATGTAAGCAAGTAATCACCTACTCTTCTTTAATATAAACCAATAACAATTCAAATAGGATTCACTTTGCACATTTAGAATTTTATTGTTGGTTAGTAATATCATGTTATCAATACTGATATAATATCACCGTTGTATTAAATATTTTCTCAAATTATTGGGATTAACTTGGTAATTTGTATAATTAGATAATTTATTATCAGTCCAAATGTGGCCATTTAATAATTAATTTTTTGAGTTATAATCCCAATAGTTATTAATTATCAAAATTATATAGTCGAGGAAATAAAGAACTATTTAATGACTTTTAATCAACAAGTTATAATCAATTAACTAAAATTTAAAATTTTAATTAGGAGGGAAAATGATGTTGAAAATGAACAAAAAATATAATATTGATATTTCAAACAGAAATTTAGCATTATGATCTTGACTTTTCACGAAATGATGGTATTATGGAAATTTTAAAAAAAAAATTTGTTAATGTCAACATTTTTCGTAACTTTTTCTAATGTTTGCCAANACAAGTTATAATCAATTAACTAAAATTTAAAATTTTAATTAGGAGGGAAAATGATGTTGAAAATGAACAGAAAATATAATATTGATATTTCAAACAGAAATTTAGCATTATGATCTTGACTTTCACGAAATGATGGTATTATGGAAATTTAAAAAAAAAAATTTGTTAATGTCAACATTTTTCGTAACTTTTTCTAATGTTTGCCAAGTGGAGGTAGTCTACATGGTAAACATTTCAAATGTCGAGGATTCTCAGTATAATTTGTGAAATATGAGGTAATATCTGTATAATAAAATCAAATTTCGGAGAGTCAAGTGTAATTTATCCTAAAAAAAATGACACAAATCATGGATTTTTTTTTTCTTTGCATACTAACAAAGAATATGTAAATAATATTGCCAATNCATTTCAAATGTCGAGGATTCTCAGTATAATTTTTGAAATATGAGGTAATATCTGTATAATAAAATCAAATGTCGGAGAGTCAAGTGTAATTTATCCTAAAAAAAATGGCACAAATAATGGATTTTTTTTTTCTTTGCATACTAACAAAGAATATGTAAATAATATTGCCAATTGAATATAGTTTACTGACTCAATTTAATTTTATCATTGGATAGACAATTCACTTCATCCAAATATTGGGCCTCACTATCAATTGTAACATGACATAGTTATAAACTATTCAAAATTCAATAATGGCCACTCTCACTACCTTTTGGCCAAGTTTTAGCACTCAGAGTTCCCCAACTTTTGATGAAAATAAACACCAACTGATTGACAGACTGACTTCTAGAAATAAAACTCATTACTACTGAGAAAAAAAACACTACAACAAATCACACACCTCCAGATATAGATGGTTAGGTGCATTTCTCTCTCAGACCATTCCTGTAAGAAGATTCTTTGTCCCTCCAGATAGCCAGCACTTCATCGGTTCTGAACCTCTGGGTGAATGTTGATTCCTCCAGTGGAGTAGACGCACCATGAGCGTAAGCAAGGAGACCAGTGTATGCAATCATTGCCCCGTTGTCAATGCAATACCTGTCGTCAGTTGCAAACAATTTTCCACCCCTCTCGGAGCACATTATTCGCATCATGTCTTGCAAGCGCTCATTGCAACCAACACCACCAACAATGAGAACATCTTTCTTGTCACAGTGTGCCATTGCTCGTTCGGTGATCTCCACTAGCATTGCAAACAGAGTTTCCTAAAACATTTTAAATAATTTGCATAAATTGTTTCAGAAACTAGAATATCTGACTGTTCAGCTCACATTTTGGACTCGTAAGAACCAGCAGCACCAACTGCATGGTCTTTTCAAATGGTATGAATCATATTAAAAAATCGAGACAAGCCCGAACAATTACCTGCAGGGAGTAGCACAAATCTGCAGGGGTGCACTCATTATTTTTTAGCTTCTCTTCAGCAGTGGCTTCAATGTAGCTCAGAATTCCACTAAATGAAACATCCATTCCTTTTACAACATAAGGAAGGTCTATAAACTGCTCTCCTTTCTTTGCAAGCTGGTGCAGAGGAAAAACACATGGCAAAGGCAAAAACAAATCAGGGGCAACTTAACATTTATTCCTATGCAGCTTAGTGGATTATTTACGATCACAAAGTTCAAAGCAGACTTCCTTTGTCATTAGGCTAAGCACAGAGTATGACCCAGCCAAAGGCAATAAGAAAAATTTCAGAATGTATTAAGAAAGGAAAATTAAGCAGATATCCTTTTTGTAGGAAAAGCACAGAATCTGAATCAGTAGCCCAAGGCAATACGAAAAAATATTGAATACATTAAGAAAGAAAAATACAATAATGATTCCGAGTGTAAAACTAGTCTGTGGACACTCNCATAGGCTAAGCACAGAGTATGACCCAGCCAAAGGCAATAAGAAAAATTTCAGAATGTATTAAGAAAGGAAATTTAAGCAGATATCCTTTTTGTAGGAAAAGCACAGAATCTGAATCAGTAGCCCAAGGCAATACGAAAAATATTGAATACCTTAAGAAAGAAAAATACAATAATGATTCCGAGTGTAAAACTAGTCTGTGGACACTCTTTTGCAGACTTACATTTAGCACAAAACAGACCTATTCTTTAAATGAGAGATTGACAATGTTCAAAAGGATCTCAAAACCACCCCCTAAAAGTACAAGATCAATCAGGCAATAATAATGTACTATGAGATATATAACAAGAGAATAAAAAAATGAGTGAAAAACAATATGAGAGAGAGAGAGCGAGAGAGAGAGAGTTGATGGTAACAAAAAAATTAATAAGCTAAAATCAAAAAACAGAGGACACATTAAAAAAGAAGAAACTAGGAGGAAATTTTTTGTCGCATTTAATGGAAAGACCCTGGAAAGGCTAATTTCTCTGAGCAATCAGAAACATCTAACAAAAGCTTTTATTAATAGGATCAACGATAAGGTAAAATTCAAGGCCCATCTTTAATCACAGTCCTAGATTCACTTCAATGTCTGACCTTCTTAACCACATTCAAAACAGCAGAAGCATAAAAATCAATCTGCAAATGAGAATAATCTCTGCCCCCTAGGGTTCCAGGTTCCCCTACAAACAAAAAAAAAACCCACACAACATGAAGATCTACAAAGCTATTGGGCATAACACCCTTCTTTGTCTTTTAATTCTCGTTTCTTCCCCAATATGAGACAGCGCATGCTCCTAAAAAACTAATCCAAAATTGCATTTTTTTGTTCTCAACGCGTTTAGCATCCAAGCATAGAGGCAATCATCCAGGGCCTAGTCAATTCAATTCATCACCCCTAGTATTTATGCTTCCTCAATTTATAACCACTAATATTTATGCTTCCACCTCACCNAAGCAATCGTCCAGGGCCTAGTCAATTCAATTCATCACCACTAGTATTTATGCTTCCTCAATTTATAACCACTAATATTTATGCTTCCACCTCACCCTAGTGTAAATTACTAAATGCTCTCTTGTTTCCTCTACTCCTCTTGGACACCAAATGAACCATGTCAGATACATCAGAGCAAAATTTTCAAACCATTCCCCATTTCTAAAATTAATTGTAGTCTATGGAGCACAAATACATCCCTGAAAAAGCTGTAGCAGGACTTAGAGAGGGCTGAATATGTCTTTTAGCAAATATTCTCCTAGTTTTAACAAGTTATTCCAACAGTCTACTTAATCCCACATATTCAAGTCTGGTCTCAAATCTATCTACCTGCTAAAATTTTAGTTTCCTTGTTTAAATTAGATTTGCATCTAGTATACAGTTATAACAAAGTAAATGTGCCAATCACACACCGCAAAAATACAACAATTTGTTTGTGGAAACCCTTGCAGAAAAAACCACAGGACCTAGTCCAGTATAACACATTATGATTTCGAAATACAAGATACAACTACTTACAACCAACTCGAATCACACAAAACCACTGCTACCTGCAACCTCCATGAAAGAATCACACGAACACATCATAGCAAATCCACTCTTCAACCCGCTCCGCCAAATCCATGACACTCAGAATGGAATCCTCCACGGCATCCCCAGAACCTCCAGAATCTCACAACTCACTCACTGGAGCCTCGGTTTCCACTGACATGTCTCCTACTCAGTTTTTGCAGATTTGAGGTGGTACTAGTTTCAAAGATGCTTAAAATGTTTCTTTCTATGAAACCTATAACATTCAATTCTAAGCTGGCACTTCAGATTGATGGATTTAATAAATTTCTTTCTTGAGATCTCAGCATACTGGAGAGAACAATCTGTTTTGAGCATTTGGAGAAAGCTGTAACAAGACCCTCAAAAAGACTCACATTTGGCTCCCATGAAGATCCATGCAACTCACTTGTTTTGATCTGCATGAGCACAGTGTAAGTCCTAAAACACTAGATGTAGGAAGGATTTTTACGATTTGAGTCTTTTAGAAAATGTGAGGCCCTAGGTGTGTGAACAAAAGTGGAAGTTCCCCCTATTTAGCCACTCAGCACACCTTCAATCAAGGTTTTTGCCTATCCATCAATCAAGGGAACAGACCCATGTGGTTTCAGACAACTCAACTGTACTTAGACGGCTTAAAGGAATTGGCATCTCATTCTCTCCTTTTAGCCTTGACTAATATCACATGCTCTCCAACTGGTAGATTATAGATTAAGGACATGCTTTTTGGTATGGGTGAGGTTCTTTTGTCTGCCTTTGATCTGTCTAACCCATATGCATGACTCCTTACTGTTGAATGAGTATTTGCAACATTTTAACCAAACTGGGTCCATATGGAGCTCCCCACATTCCATTTGGAGAGCTCTTAGATCACTCTGAGTGCTTCTGGAGCTCTCTAGATTGAGCATCAGCTCCAAATTACACTAAAATGATTCTGCAGCTCTCCAGTTTTGTCTGGCGCTCTCTAGATCATTCTGCAGTGATCCAGGAGTTCTCTAGATTGAGTAGGGAGATATCCACTTCAATCTGGAGCTTCCCAGATCATTCTGCAGTGATCCTGAATCAATTTAATGCTGTCTGGAGCACTCAAGATCATTATGGATCAAAATGACCTCAAACATATGCGACCATCGGATCTCCCATCCGGTTGAATTCTCGATTCCATGTTCTTGACTTGTTACCTCCCAGATGTTCTTGGTAGTGTTCCCTGACTCAAATCTTCATTCAGGTGGGTAGTCAGGTTTCACAAATGGGTTCCACAATGTCAATATGGACCTTATATTAGGCTACATAGCAGCAATACATCCCCAACGAATGGAAAACTTCATGAATCATGTCAGGTACGTCAGGATAAATTATCAATTCTTTCCTCATTAGTCATTTCTAGGATACTAATAATATGTTTCCCAACAACTTTTACCAAATTTTACATCCCAAATGATGTTGCTAATCTACAAACATTAAACATCTTTGGGACCACCTTATTTGATGGCGGTAGATGTGCAGGTCAGTTGGGAAGCCAAATTTGGTAAAAGTTGTTGGTCAGCCTAGCAAAACTATTTCTAGAATTAATACTAGCGTATGGCGCAGAATGTGTTGGATGGCAACACACAAAGGTCATGCACTCTCCTGAATTTATAAAAAAAATTACTTCAAATTGGACGGGCCAATCATGTCAGGAACTGGAGGATGTGGTGGTGGTATTTGGGGGTGGGGGGAATCAAACTTACATAATACTTGCAATATTTTTAAAATAACAACCTCTCCTTGCTTTTACAAGAAAGAGTAAGTAAAATGTTTTGGAGTGTCCAGACATGTCCACATCCAACTTTCTAAGATTTTCTATGTCAATATGTTTGTGTAATGGCAAAACTGAGTCAAGTGTCAGTTGTTGTGCTTCTTAGATTATAACTTCTACTTCTATGAATAATGAGTCCCCAAACTTAGTTCTAAAACTCATTCACAAATGTTCTGAACATTCTGAATAGGATTGGATCATTTGCAGCATTTGCAAATAACTCCATATAATTCTACGACAGATTCTTCTTGATTTAAAATTTGCAAATTCCCTCTGTCAAAATTATCTCCTCATCATGGATTTGTTTCCTACCACTACGAGACCAACAAATTCCCATTCTCTACAGTACTTGTATTTATAAGTCAAATCTTCCATCAACATTGACAGACAAAAACTCTGCCATGAGCAACTGAACCAAAGCCAAAAACCAAATATATCAATGATAACCTACTACTCCAAATGCACTGCAAATTTCGTCAAATTAACTATACTAGTTCACACTTTTCTTTTTGGGATGAGTATGCTGTTAGTTANCGAGACCAACAAATTCCCATTCTCTATAGTACTTGTATTTATAAGTCAAATCTTCCATCAACATTGACAGACAAAAACTCTGCCATGAGCAACTGAACCAAGCCAAAAACCAAATATATCAATGATAACCTACTACTCCAAATGCACTGCAAATTTCGTCAAATTAACTATACTAGTTCACACTTTTCTTTTTGGGATGAGTATGCTGTTAGTTATGACTTCTGATGATTAAAAACCTACTTCAAACAACAAGTATAAGATATGTCACGTCCCACCGTGACAATTCAAATGTACAATGCCAATGCCTGAGATTTAAAAATAACAAGATTATAAGGTTACCATGCTCAAAAAATGTCAAATAATAATCACTCAAACTTGCCACAGAACGTAAAACAGCAGTCTAAAACATAAAATTAAGAGCCCAAAACATCACGAAGTTTTACACAGTAAGCACCATAGTCAGCAACTCAGCATCAACCACCAATAATTGNTTTACAACGCCAATGCCTGAGATTTAAAAATAACAAGATTATAAGGTTACCATGCTCAAAAAATGTCAAATAATAATCACTCACACTTGCCACAGAACGTAAAACAGCAGTCTAAAACATAAAATTAAGAGCCCAAAACATCACGAAGTTTTACACAGTAAGCACCATAGTCAGCAACTCAGCATCAACCACCAATAATTGTTTTAAAAGCAAAAATTTGTGCAAATCAAGGAGGTTTAGCAACAAGATATCAATTTACTGACAGAATTACAATTACATGTATATAAATCTCTCTCCTCCTTTAAATTGTGAGCTGCATGTAGGTCTTACGCCTAAATTTTGTCAATTCAGAATAAAATTGTTGCTCTTCATCAGCTCCCAAGAATGAGGTNATCAACCACCAATAATTGTTTTAAAAGCAAAAATTTGTGCAAATCTAGGAGGTTTAGCAACAAGATATCAATTTACTGACAGAATTACAATTACATGTATATAAATCTCTCTCCTCCTTTAAATTGTGAATTTTGTCAATTCAGAATAAAATTGTTGCTCTTCATCAGCTCCCAAGAATGAGGTCATCTACTGATATTTTGAAGTTGATGAATAAAAAAATATAATGAAGAGGAAAGAACTTTATGAGTATCTAAATCAGCACCATATCCCAAGTACAATTTGCTTGTAATAAGCTTCATTATATTATGGACTTTTTGTAGAATCACATTATCCTTTATTTAGGCTGTTAATTGTTGGCATAGAGGAGACTTAAAATACTATCACTACCGAATTCTACCCATATCTATATGTTGAATCTTCATTAATATTCTGACATTCGATTATAGAGTCAAAAGTAAGTTTTGGCTATTGGATAATACTGATTGCTAATGCATGTTACTCAAGCTTTTGAATATGCATCATTTTGGTTTCAATAAGGGAAAGGGACGTGGTACAGCACATTACAGTGTAGCATGGTACGCAAGCAACAAACACATACAAATCGCAAAATTTGGAGTGTTACAAAGAAACATGTCAGGTTCAAGTACTTTTCAGTCCAATAATGGATTCATGACTTATATAAAAAACACAGTAGTCATCTAATTGGTTTTGGAATTGTTTAAATGGGATTTGATCATGCTTATTATATAGATAGAGCCGTTGAAATACTATTTCAGTTTTCTTTTATACCTCCCCCTCAAAATTCTAGAACTGCTACATACATTTTCTCTCAATTGTACTTGAAACTTATCTTATGTAAGTATGAGGACAAACAAGAAATTTCTAATAAAAAATACAATAAAATTACTTTAGTGAATTGAGATTTACCATCTTTTCAAACACGCAAGTCCAAGGCACAATGCAAGGACTAGATGATGGCATTGCACACATACATTTTGTAATCCAAAAGAACAGCAAATGTAATCTTCAGAACTACCAATTTGACCATAATAAGGAACTAAGTAATTATAAAAGTCATCCACTAATTATTAGCACTATTCCTTCGCAAGTGGTAAGTAGCTAAATAACTTACCAGAAGCGGATGACATTATGTATTAACAAAACTAACATAATGATTATTTAAGGACCCTAACTATAATCAGAATTTGAATTTTAATGCGAAGTCTCAATAATCAATAAATTAGAAATCCATATCAACATTCTAGCCCAATTTAGTGCGGGATGCAAGCATGAATGTTTCCCCTTAGACTCCATTGCATTAACTTTTGTTGCTGATCAAAATATAAATATATATATAAACATTTTTCTAGCAAGTGTGCACTACGGATAATAAACATGAAAAATTGACATATACCAACATCAATCCCAGGAATAATCCAAAANAAACATTTTTCTAGCAAGTGTGCACTACGAATAATAAACATGAAAAATTGACATATACCAACATCAATCCCAGGAATAATCCAAAAGTAAACCGAGTGAGAAGAGATTTTTTCTGAAATAATAGTCAATAGCATACTGCATGGTCTAAACCCACAAATTTAAAACAAGTAAAATATTAACCACCATATCACCATCTTAGTTAGTTAGTTTTTTTTTTTTTTGACATCACCAATATTGATAAATAGAAACCAAATCAGTTACACAAGATATAAGCATCACATGGTGTATCTGCTTATTATTTATGTATTCACAGCAGTCAAGTTCAAATATCAACCATTTGGGTGTAAATTAACTTACCTGCTCAATGTTATACCCAGGGCTTGGATCATTGGACAGCGTTAAAACCCTAGCAAACCGGTCCAAGCAATTCCCAACAGCAATATCAATAGTCTCCCCAAAAATCCGATACCTACCTTCACTATACGCAATTACCTGCGTATTCCCCCCACTCACATACAAAACAACGGGATCATCCGCCCCAGTAACTATCCTACCCATCTCGATATGTGCAACGCAGTGATTCACAGCAACAATTGGTTTCTTCCACAGCTGTGAAAGGATCCGAACAACAACTGCAGAGACCTGTAGTGGTGCGCCCATCCCAGGGCCCTTGGTGTAACAAAGACAATCGATGTTGTCATGGGTAATTTGGGCGGTTTCAAGGGCGGACTTGATTAATGGAAGGACGTGTTGGAGGTGGTGTTGGGCAGTTTCTCGGGGGAGGAAGCCTTGGCCCGGTGGGGTAATGTAAGTGTGGCGTGGGTTCGACAATATTGTGCCGTCAAGGGTCACAACTCCAACGCCAATCTTATTGGCCGAGCCCTCAAAACCTAAAGCTATCATCTTCTTCTTCATCTCTATTACAATTATTGTAGTAATTCAAACCTCAAAATCAGTTCAAATTCGGATTTTGATGGCTTCAAATGAAATTGGGTGTTCCTGTTTTCAGTTTAACAAAATGAATCATCAGACCATAAGATGAATAATATATACGCAACATTAAAGCTCACTCACCTGCTGCAATGAACTAAACAGGCAACTAAGGAAGTTGAGAGAGAGAGAGAGAGGCCGCGCAGGAAGGGTTTAGACCAGGATAACAGGGGTTTAGACTTGTGGTTGTGCAATGGTACCTACGTTGTTGTCTTAACAAAAAGGGATAATTACACCTAAACGCCACGAGCCCTGAAGTTTGTACACAGTCAGACTTTTGACATTTGAAAGACGTTTGTACCTGCTGAAATTGTACGCACATACCACTTAAATTCTATAGTTAATATATTTATTAATAAATCATGCTTAAAATTTTTAAAATTTATAAATATATAATAATTAAATTTCTCAAATTTAAAATATTATATTTAAATAAAATATATTTCAATCAAAGATTGAATGTCAAATATTTAAANACTTCCTGTAGTGTAGAGAAATGGGAGGGAGCATGAAATCACATAAGCGGATATATTGCCATGATTGCAGAGGACATATTGCCATCAATAAGAGGATATATTGCCATGATTGCAGGGGAGCATGAAATCACATAAGAGGATATATTGGCATCAGTTAGAAGGCGAATGCTTTGGTCAGTCGGTTTTGAGAACAAAAAAAAAAATCAAAATGCCCATTATTTGCGCCTTCAACCATTGTGGCTATTTAAAAAAATTTAAGTTNATTAGAATATAAATTTTTGTTTTAAAATTTAAAATATTTGATATTTTATCTTTACTTGGAGTATTTTTATTTTAAATATAACATTTTTTAAACTTGAAAGATCTAAGTATTAAATGCTTAAAAACTTTAGAAACTTGAAAGATGTGCTCGGTGCAGTAACCCCATCCTACTTAACTGAGCGCACAATTCTTTCCGCTCAGAATGATGATGTCTACTCTATTAATGATGTTGTTCTACAAATTTACCCTGGCGAGACGTATACCTACTTGGCAACTAACAAGGTGTCGGATGGGGACAAACTCTGTCGTTCTACCACTAATCAATATCCAAGTGAGTTTCTAAATTTCCTAAATCCGTCAGGTTTACCGTCTTTCAAGTTGGAGCTAAAGGTCGGGTGCCCCATCATTTTGTTGAGGAATATAGCCCCAAAAGATGGCCTCTGTAACGGGACCAGATTAATGGTTGTCAAGTGCACATCGCGGGTTATTGAGGTTAGAATTCTAACTGGTGACAAATCTGGGAATCTGTGTTTCATTCCACGGATATCATTATCACCGTCGTCTAAAGAATTACCATTTCAAATGACTAGATGCCAATTCCCAATACGCTTAACATATGCTGTGACAATCAACAAGTCGCAAGGCCAGCCAGTCAATTTTGTTGGTGTAGATTTGCGCTTGCCTGTATTCAGCCACGGTCNAATACGCTTAACATATGCTGTGACAATCAACAAGTCGCAAGGCCAGCCAGTCAATTTTGTTGGTGTAGATTTGCGCTTGCCTGTATTCAGCCACGGTCACCTATATGTGGNGAATGCTAGAATTGGATTACAGAGATCTAAAGAATTGGATTACAGAGATTTAAGGGGAAAGGGAAGTAGTTGATCCTATAGATTATGGAAAAACCACAATGTAGATAATCAATGAAGTTACTATAGAGAGACCTGGAAGCTCCCTGGACGAGACTGTGGATTGGAGGAGGGAGGGATGTGATCTTCTCAGTGCATTGACGGGTTTTGTAGCAGGCAAGGGAAGGAAGAAGATCAGTAATTGGAGAGAGATATAGAGAGAGGAGGACAGAAAGTATGCGTAGGAAGGGATCTGAAGGTGATTTATTGGACAAAAAACGATGTCGTTTTTGGTGAGGAAGAATAAAAAAAAATANGAGGGATGTGATATTCTCAGTGCATTGACGAGTTTCGTAGTAGACAAGGGAAGGAAGAAGATCAGTAATTGGAGAGAGATATAGAGAGAGGAGGACATAAAGTATGCGTAGGAAGGGATCTGAAGATGATTTATTGGACAAAAAACGATGTCGTTTTTGGTGAGGAAGAATTAAAAAAAAATACAAAAAATACCTAAAACGCCACTGTTCAATTTAACCGCATATCATGCGGTAAATGGGTTACCGCAGAGGAGCCAGACCCCCAGGATAACAGGGGTTTAGACTTGTGGTTGTGCAATGGTACCTACGTTGTTGTCTTAACAAAAAAGGATAATTACACCTAAACGCCACGAGCCCTGAAGTTTGTACACAGTCAGACTTTTGACATTTGTACCTCCTGAAATTGTATGCACATACCACTTAAATTCTATAGTTAATATATTTATTAATAAATCATGCTTAAAATTTTTAAAATTTATAAATATATAATAATTAAATTTCTCAAATTTAAAATATTATATTTAAATAAAATATATTTCAATCAAAGATTGAATGTCAAATATTTAAATTTTACAATTAAAATTTATGTTATATTGTATCATTTATTGAAATAAAATCAAAAATAAAAATCTAATTTTTTCTTAAAAAATTGTAATTAAAATATAATTATACTATCTATTGTAATAAAACTAAAAAATCAAACAAGAGATCAAATTATAATGGACACAATATCTTTTAACTTTAATTGAGGTAATTTGGTCATTTAAACGACCAAATTAAATTCTAATAGATAATATAAATGTATACTAATTATGATTTTTTAAGAAAAATTTAGATTTTTATTTTTGATTTTATTTCAATATATGGCATATTAGAATATAAATTTTTGTTTTAAAATTTAAAATATTTGATATTTTATCTTTACTTGGAGTATTTTTATTTTAAATATAACATTTTTTAAACTTGAAAGATCTAAGTATTAAATGCTTAAAAACTTTAGAAACTTGAAAGATGTGCTCGGTGCAGTAACCCCATCCTACTTAACTGAGCGCACAATTCTTTCCGCTCAGAATGATGATGTCTACTCTATTAATGATGTTGTTCTACAAATTTACCCTGGCGAGACGTATACCTACTTGGCAACTAACAAGGTGTCGGATGGGGACAAACTCTGTCGTTCTACCACTAATCAATATCCAAGTGAGTTTCTAAATTTCCTAAATCCGTCAGGTTTACAGTCTTTCAAGTTGGAGCTAAAGGTCGGGTGCCCCATCATTTTGTTGAGGAATATAGCCCCAAAAGATGGCCTCTGTAACGGGACCAGATTAATGGTTGTCAAGTGCACATCGCGGGTTATTGAGGTTAGAATTCTAACTGGTGACAAATCTGGGAATCTGTGTTTCATTCCACGGATATCATTATCACCGTCGTCTAAAGAATTACCATTTCAAATGACTAGATGCCAATTCCCAATACGCTTAACATATGCTGTGACAATCAACAAGTCGCAAGGCCAGCCAGTCAATTTTGTTGGTGTAGATTTGCGCTTGCCTGTATTCAGCCACGGTCACCTATATGTGGCCATGTCTAGATGCACGTCGGCTGATCGCATCAATGTCCTTCTGCCTCCTAATGGATCAACAACCACGACAAATATCGTATATCCGGAGGTGTTGTTAGACTTGGTGTAAATATTACTACATTTTTTAATGTATTGCAACTTGCGTCAGCTCTAGGTTCATGACTTTTATTATAGTTTTAATAGTTTTTTCCATACATATATGATGAAAATTTTTCAATGATTATATGTTTGTTTTTTGAATTCGTGAGCATCTGTGTTCAATGATAATTTTTTTTTCCAGTACATGGTTTATTTGAAGGATTATTTATTTATGATATTTGTTCCCAATTTTTGGTAGTTATTTGTCTACGAATAACATTTTTCTTTGCATTAATGACGTGTTGAGGAATGAGTAATTCATCATCTCCAATTCTTTTTTTTTTTATATTCCTCCCTCTTTCACTCTTCTCTCTCTATATTTATCCCTTTCTCACTCTGTTAGGCCATCTCCATCAACACCACTGATGAAACTATTATCCAGATGTTAGGCCATCTCTATATTTCTCTGCTTCTCATGCAAAAACACAACACACGTAATACATGCACAAATACACATGCAACTGCAACCACTCAAACACTCGCACATCGAACTCACACACCACTATACTACCACCAATACAGATTTATGATTGAAATTATTAGACAAATGAACCGTTTGTTGAAATGCTACATAGAAATACTATGTGCTATTTCTCTCCTACATCACGCCCAATTCGATAGGAGTTCGATTAAACATGTCAGCTTGGTACATGTTAAGAGCGGTCAGAGGACGGTAAAATGATGGGCCTTACTTTTGAATGAGTATGGATATTGAGCTTAAGATCTTATTTGAGCTTTGATTATTGAAAATCTTATTTTCTATTTTTCTTTCCTTAGGTGGATTGGTTTATGGAAGCACACCTACAGGTTTGTGGAAGGTTATAAAGTTTGCCACCTTTTGTTTGGGCTGATTTACATATATAGAGGCATCTATAATCAAATGATGCTAAATTTGATTTTATGCTTAGAAGGATATTATGAGATGACTTTATTGATTTAAAGTAGATATATGTTCTTCAAAATCTCGCCAACCTAATATTTAGTTTTTATTTTACTTGATGTTCCATCTTCGTGTTAACCAAAGTCTTGCTAAGTGAGATGGTTTTTTACTAACCAACATCATTTGCATTTTTCATCTCATCTATAATATAAAAGAGAGCGGGCTTCAACAAGCCAATCGTACGGTCTTCATTTATCAAAAGACTTCAACATCCAAAGACTCACAATACATCTCATTCAAATTCAAAAGTCCATNTTTCTTTTTTCATCTCATCTATAATATAAAAGAGAGCGGGCTTCAACAAGCCGATCGTACGGTCTTCATTTATCCAAAGACTTCAACATCCAAAGACTCACAATACAT